TCCTAGAAATACTCTGTAAGTGACCATTAACATACAGGACTTTTGCATCACACCATAGCAGACTAGTTAAATAAACTGAGTAGCACCACAGTTACTTAGGTAAATAGAGACCAGGAAACTGAAATTAAGCAAAAACATCATACCAAGAGACACTTCAGGCCTATCACAAATCCATCCATTTTACTCACCAGAGAGCCTATCAGGACTTCACTCAAAGATTATTAATTATTTCAGAGTGTTTTAACAATCTGTGTATTCCTAGCATCCAAAAAATTAGAAGCAGCAAGTTTGACTGGGGACTACAGATAGGTAGAGATACTGAGAATCCCAAAAGAAGATAGGAAAACTATTCAAAGTAAAATAAAACTCAAAACTTAGGTAAATGGAGACTGTGAATGCACCTTTGCACTTTTAAGAACCTCTGGATTTATCACACATTAGAAGCACCACACAATCAATTAGGTCAAATATAGTGATACAATTTCTTTAAGAAAGGTCAATTTATGTTAAGAATATACTGTTCAACAAAGCTGAGCCACATTGTTATAAAATTTCAATCAACATGATAAAAAACAAAAAATAGTTTAGGTGTTGAGAAGGATATATGTCATTACATGCTGACTGAGAAATAAAATATTATATAATGTTTATATATTCCTCTAAGCTTTTCTCTGAAAAAAAAAATACTTGGAAAAAAGCTCTCTTGAAGGCTATTTTATGACCTCAATGTCCTGGGGCAAAATCTTTAGTTCTTCAAATTCACTGGCAAGCAAGAATCTAGCTAATGCCTCCTCAAGGTCATCAGTTAATGGAATAGTTCTCAGAAGTCACTCCGTTGTAAGCTCTTGCCAATTGTTAGGAATTTACATTGGTCACCATGGTGGGAGGAAAACTCTGATCCATTGACCAAGAGTGCCCTCCATGGCATGGCATGGCACTGCCCTAGACCCAGGGACACTTCTCCTTTATAGGAGAAGTGATTGCACGCAAATACATGCCATTTAGAGCAAGTTGCAGAAATGAAGGGAAGATTCGATACTATGCAAGCACAAAAAGGAGTGGTCACCTAAACCTGAAGTAGAGGAATGCTTCACAGAGTGGTAACACTTGAATCCTGAGCGATGAGTGGGAGTTGGCCTAGCTAGCAAACAGAAAAGAGTATTCTGGACAGGGCTGGTAGCATATGCAGAGGCACAGGCATATGGAATATTACAGTGAATTTGAGAAGTTTCACTTTGGAACATGGAAGCAGGGTGTTTGAGAAGAGCAATCGATACTGGCCTGAAAGGAGAACCCCTTCTCTATTCCCTGTCATAGCTTTCCAACTTTCCTCTCCTCAGTTGAGTTTCAGGACAGAGCAACAAGTCCACTGGTCTAAGCAGATGTCCAGTAGAGAATGAAACCAGTGTGCTCATTCCCTACTGGGGAAACTGATGCTCAAAAAAGTTAAGGAAACTGCCTAATTCCTCTTTCTCTCTCTGTATTAGATTTCCTCTTAAAACTATGTTGGGTAATTAAAATATAAGCTTTCTGTGTTCTCAGATGATTTTAAAATCTTATTTATTAGATCAAGGGGGCCCTTTTAAAAAGTCTATTAGGGACTAAATTTCTTGATGACTTAAAAAAATCTTCATGAGGCAATGGTGCCATTCTTTTTTATAAAGCTTTATTGAGACGTAATTCACATTCCATACAATTCAGTCATTTAAGGTACACAACTCAATGGCTTTTAGTGTATTCACAGAGTTGCGCAACCATAACCATGATCATTTTAGAATATTTTCATTTTCTCAAAAAGAAACTTCACATCCTTAAACCATCACTCCCATTTCCCCCCCAACTTCCCCAGCCCTAGGCAACCACTAATCTATTTTCTGTCTCTATAGATCTGTCTTTTCTGGACACTTCACATAAATGGAATCGTACAATATATTGTTCTTTATGGCTTTCACTTAGCATAATGCTTTCATCCATCTTGTAGCATGTATTAGTACTTAATTATTTTTTATTGCCAGATAGTATGATGTGGATATACTGCATTTCATTTATTCATTCATCAGTCCATGGACATGTGAGTTGTTTTCACTTGTTGTCTATTATGAACAATGGTGCCATTCTGTTGCTGTATTTGTGGTATTTTCCTCATATTAGCTTATTAATGTGATTAGCTTTGTAAATCTGTACTTAAAAATATTTGTCAGTAAGCAACCTGTTTCTGGGTGAGTCTATCACTTCCTATAGTGTAGATCAAGATAGACATGGGTAGAAGTGCATACGGGTGCTTTCGGTATAAGCATTGTGTTATTCATGTGCAACCTGGAGGAGAAAGCCTTAATTCTAATACATGGTGGAGAGTCTTTCTCTAGTGATTTCTAAATGTGACCATGGTCCATTCTAACCATTAACTTTTGGATTAGAAGAGAGCTGAGCAAATAACGTACATCCTAACCAGATGGGTATGATTTTACCAAACTCCTTTCTTGCTGGATTTAACATTCCAAGAAAGGATGCATTCAGGACACATAAATGACTACAAAGTACAAAACAAAAGTACTTTGAAGAAATCTTAAGAAATTTCTTCCCAAGTGAAAGGTGGATAGGAAACTTTTGGACTTAATCTTACAGGATGTTGCAATTCAAAGACCATTAAATTGGGTATAAGGTACAATCCCTCTTTAGCCAGACAGAGAAGATTACTGATTATACTCTTGAGATATTATAAAGCATTTTTAAGGCTTCTGTTAAACTAGGGAATTATGAATTGGTAGGTTTCAAATAAGTTCCTCCAGACCTCAGTCTGGTCTAAAGTTTCCTGTTTTTACAATTAACTCCTCATGTTTCTTTGTTGAGTGTGTGTCTGCGTGTGTGTGTGTGTGTGTGTGTGTGTGTGTGTGTGTGTGTAAAACCTAAAGATAGACCAGAACGCATCTGGGCCATCTGGCTCTAGAGGAGAATCAAGATTTCTGTGAGGGCTGGGTAGTAAATTGCATAAACAATACTATCTTAATGTATGATTCCTGTGCTAACGCTCAGTCACCACTTCAAAATACCCTTAACCTGCTGTATTTGGTGTTAATACTTTTTGGGTTTTTGTCTGTGAATGAAGCAGATTGATTTGTCCTAGGATAAACCCAGTTTAGGCCTAATTACTTCCATATTGTTTTGTCAAGCTTCTGGGGGATTACAAAGAAAAGTGGATATGTCAAGCATTGGGCTGCTCCTGAAAGCAATGCTGTCTTCTTGGTGCCCACTCTCCTGTCTGCATTTCATTTGCCAATAAAGGACTGCTATTAAGAAAGAGGCATCAGTCTGGGCGCGGTGGCTCACGCCTGTAATCCCAGCACTTTGGGGGCCCGAAGCAGGCAGATCACTCGAGGTCAGAAGTTTGAAACTGGCCTGGCCAACATGGTGAAACCTCCGTCCCTACTAAAAATACAAAAATTAGCTGGGTGTGGTGGCGGGCACCTGCAATTCCAGTTACTCAGGAGGCTGAGGCAGGAGAATTGCTTGAACCCGGGAGACAGAGGTTGCAGTGAGCTGAGATCGTGCCACTGCACTCCAGCCTGGGTGATAGAGCGAGACTCAGTCTCAAAAAATAAAAAAAATAAAAAAATTAAAAAAAGCAGTCACCAAGCCAGGCATGGTGGCTCACACGTGTAGTCCCAGCTACTAGGGAGGCTGAGGTGAGAGGGTTGCTTGAGGCCAGAAGTTCGAGGCCAGCCTGGGCAACATACTGAGACTCCCATCTCTAAAAGACTTTTAAAAAAAATCAAGGGCAGATGGAAAAGATTGCTAGCAACCGGGATGTCTCAAGGCTTGTGTACTGGCTAGGAAAATGCAAGGTTCTATTTGTACAGCCCCTAGCGAAGTGCTACATGAATGCATCCTAATTTTAATTAAGATGATTTTCAAAAGGCATTTAGTTCCCTACTCCTCAGAGCAAGACCCTTTCTCCTGTAACTGAAGTGAAATAGAAGAGGTTACATTTCAAATTTTTCATAAAGGTTCTTATTTTGAAGTAATAATGTTAAAAGCATCAATGACATTTACAGAACACTTACTATAAGCTGCCATTTCACTTAACCCTATTATAAGCTCTGCTTTCCACGTGAAGGAACTGAAGCACAGAGAGGCTCAATAATGTGGCTAGACTCACACAGCTGGTGTGTGCTGGAATCAGGCAGTAAGACTTCAGAGCCCAGGTTCTCAACTACCCAATTAAGAACTTGTGCTGTTTCTTAATTGTGTTATCACAAAAACATTTTTACTGCGAATTTAAAATATATACTCTACATAAATATTTATGTGAACACAGCACACATAAAACTATATTATCTTTTGTCAAAAAAAGATTGTGTTCTACATGCCCATGTTACCCCAGGAAAAAGGTCTTTCTTTTCCTTTGGAATGAGGAGTGACATTTGATTTTGCCAGGGAACTTAAAATTATTTTGAGGTTCCAGTCGTGCATGGTATAGAGATTTATGACAAATATGTGATCTGTTTATTTGTCACCCAACTTGGATGACTTCCAAATGTTTCTTCTTTGTAGCTCTTGATTTTGCTTGGGTTTTTCCCCCCAATGGCCAAATAGTAAAAAACCAAACCAAACCAAAAAACAATGTCTGAATCACGTTTGCTCCAGTCAAGGAATACCAACCTGCTTAAGACCAAAGACAACTTTGGTTTTTAAAAATCTTACTCTATATTATTTGCAACTTTGAAGGACATTCATGCTTGAGTAGACTGGGTTTGAAAGAAAAAAAAAGAAGAAGAAGAAAAAATCCCAGCAAGTTGTGGCTTAAGTCTCTCTGCCATTTGCTGCAGTGAGTTTTCCTATTCCATTTTGCTGGGGAGAAGGCATGCTTAACAGAACACATCAAACTGTCCGAAAAAGGCTGTCTGCATCCCTCATGTTTAAAGGAGAAGGATTTCTTTCCCTTTCCTTCACACATCAAAGAAGGCACTTGGGGAGGAAATAAACCATAATTAGGCATGAGCGAGCGAGCGAGCAGACAGACCCCTTGCTCTGCCTTCCCTGTCCCCGCCCCCCAGGCCCTGGCAACGGTCCTGGGCTCGAGAGAGGAGCGGGAGCCTCCGCAGCAGCTGCAGAGAGCGCGCGTCCGCAACCGCGCCCGCGCCCGCGCCCGCGCCTGCCGTCAAGATCTGGGCGGCGGCGGGGCTAGGCCGGGGGCGCGCTCGCTCGGGAGCGCGCTCATGCAGCGGTTTTCTTCTCCCACAATCCAGAGGCAGCTGCGCGGGAGGGGCGGGGAGTCGGCGGAAGGATATCGGCGCGGAGGGAGCAGCGCGCTCCCTTTGACGGCGGATCCGCGGCGCTGGCGGGAGGCGAGGGCTGGGGTGTGATGCGGCACTGCGGTTCTGAGGCCGTTACTCCGGCTCCTCCATAGAGGGCGGAGGAGGCTGGAGCGCGGCGGTGATTTTGTGCCAGGGATTCCCGGGGACGCGCTGAAAAGGCTGGCAGGGCTTAGGAAGCTGGGGGGTTAGGGACACACATTCGAGCCCCCACCCCCGGGAGGGGAAGGGGGCTGGAGACGAGGCTTGAGGGCGGCGGAGGGATGGTGTCTGTTCTGGGGGAAGGGGCGAGCCGTGCCTGTTGGTGCTGAGGGGCTGCGGGCAGTGGAGGCTCCGCGGGTCGAAAGCGGCTCCATGCCCATCGGTGGGTGTAACGTGTAGAGGTCGGAACGGCGAGGTCCAGTCTGGTGGCCCTTCGGAATCCTTAAACGTGGTCTCTGTCTAACGTATTTCATTTAGCCCACGTTGGGATTAATTCATTGGGGGCAGTTTCGCTGGTCTGGCTCCTCCAGGGGCTGGACAACCTTGACGGGCTTTTTGTCTTGGGCTCCAGCCCCCTTTCCCTTCCTCCTCCTCCAGATGCCTTTTCTCTGCCCCTCCTCGCCCGGTACAGACATTTCCAGGGCAGGCTGCTTCTCGTGGTGGCCGTCGTCGAAGCCACTTCTTGGGATTTCGTCTCGTTTACCTCTCGGGTGTTTTTTGAGGAGGGAGAGTTTCCCCCTCCTACACGATGGGATTTTCCTCCCTTGCCGAAATGGATTTTCATTGATTTCTACTTACTTCCACGTTTAGTGACCTATTCCCTAGGCGTATTTTTGTGGTAGTTCCTTTTTTTCAAATACATACTCTGTAAAATGGAGAACGAAATTTTTACTCCTCTTCTGGAGCAGTTCATGACCAGCCCTTTGGTCACTTGGGTAAGTGGAGTGTCCTTTATTGTATATTTTGCTGCGTTATTTGTGGCTGCAGAGATGGAGGTGGGCGTTCATGTCGTGGTGATCCTTCTGTTCTAGGTTAAAACGTTTGGACCTCTGGCTGCAGGAAATGGGACCAACCTTGATGAATATGTGGCTTTGGTGGATGGGGTATTCTTGAACCAGGTCATGCTCCAAATGTAAGTTGTTCCTTCTTTCTTAGGTAACTTGTTTTCTTTGAGAAATAGCATAGGGTGAACTTTGAAACACGATGTTTTAAGCCCCTAATTTGGTTTATTGACCAGAAAAATTCAGGTGGTTTAAGAATCAGATCTTGAAAGGAATGCTAATATTATGCGCTCAGCCCATTATCACAACCTAGAAATTCTACCTGTTAAAATTGTGAAACTTCAGCTTTTCATTCTGTCAACCACGTACCGTCACTTGTGTTCAGTACTGAAATCCAAGCCACATTGTGTCTTCTTTGATAATTTGGTAAAATAAGAGGGAGAATGAAAATCTGGTTTCCTAAGAGAGGAAAAAAGACTTTATTGTGAAGCTGTGTGCATTTGATGCAGAAATGTTTCTTATTAACCTTTATATCTAGAAATAAATGGCTCAGATTTTGAAACTGGTTAAGTAATAACAGATTTCAGAAGAGAAAATTTCACAGTTCTGATTGGTGAGGATTCTCCCTGTAGTAAGTAATTTAAAAGTCTAATAACTAAAGCCTGATGAGATGATTTATTGTGTGAATTATTAGGTTGCTTAATATTTTAGGAATCATTTTAAGGTATTCTTACAGGTTTTGAAATGTAAGTAACAAGTCTTGATAACAATTAGTTAATGACTTATTAGGCAAATCTTTGTCTTTTGTGTTTATAGTATTGGGTTTGTACTAAGTAGGAAAGTATGCTTTTGAGATGGGAATTGAATAGTGAAAGTGTATTGGTAGCTGGATCAGTAAAATTAAAACTCAGTTTTTATCTAATTGCAGTTATTGTAGCATATGTGCATTCTCAGTATGCTAATATAGTTCATCAAACTGAATTTTTCAGTTGTGCTTAAAATAATGTGTACTTACAATTATTTCTCTTGAGTAGAATCTGATTAGAAGAGGTAGTTTGGAACTTTTGATTTGAAGACATTCTTTTATATGTATGGGAAATTAGTGTGTTATTAAAAAATAGTTGTTACCAGAGAATAAGTCTACCATTCTTCTCTGATAACCTTATCAATTTTGTATTTTATTGGTTTAGATTTTTACGTTTAAGAGAGTCAAATCTATAAAAAATTGCTCTGGTGTTAACTTGTCTATGTGCTCAAAGAGATTTGTGGGCTGTTTTTCATGTATGTGTTGATCCTGCAGGGAAGTGTTATACTACTATACATTTTCAACCAGTGTTTTATTTTCATAGGCACCCATAGAAATATATACGTTATCTAAATATATATGTTTATTTTTTCCTTAAGAAGGAAAAAAAGCATGGACATTATTCCCAGGGTCAATAAATTTATTTTTGTCAACTGTGACATGGAGTTATTTTTTATCCTCAAAATATCTGACTATTTTCTAAGCAAAATGGTAGGATAGTAAACTGACTTCTATTTTGGGGAACCTACATGACAGGAAGGGCAGCCATTACAGTAGATACTCAGAACTTGTTCCCCTATGTCTCTTTACGTGCTTATTTTTAGACTGAAAATTTTGAATTTGTGTGCTAAAAAATACGTGTGTTCACAAAAATAGGGAAATATATTACCTTAGTTTTCCACTTCAATGATTTTTATTTGAATGATTCTTTTTCCAAAAAATTTTAGATTTTTTTGCATCCTAAGTATGTAGCTGATGTGCTAAAAACAAACACATTAGCTTGTTTCCACTTCAAATGCAGTTTTATGCTTAAAAAATATGTATATTTTGAAAATGATGGTATTCCAAAGTAGTGGCTGCCAGGTTGCTGTTTTTCATGAGGACTAGCTCCTTTCCAAACCTCAAATCTGCTTCTGTATTTTCAGTTCCACCTCCCAGTTTCTTTAGATTTTTTTTTTTCAGTGTCCTAATTCTATTCTGAATGACCTATATAAATTAAAGGAAAAGAAAATTAAGAGAGAAGTATACTTTTGCTTTGTTTGAATAATTTGCTAAAATAAGATCAACACAAATTTATCATAATAAATTATTTAACTGATAGGGCAACAAAGTATACATTGTTTTAAAAGCTATGTTTTGCTAATTTTGAAGTCATTAGGATTTCTGTTAAGCACTTTGCTTCGGTTAATGTATGCTTTAATGTACTGCGGTATAAAGTGTCAGTTGTACCTCTGTACCTAGTTAATGTAAAAGTTAGGCTTAGTCTAATTTCTGCAGTACATTTAGTTACAGAATTTGTGAGCAAGAACCCTTTGTAAATGAAACTATATATTTTCCATGTTTCTTATGCTTGGAATTCGATGAGTGTCTTGGATCTGTGGACTTGTAGTTTTGATCAAATTTAGAAAAGTGTAGGTCATTATTCCTACAAATATATATGTATATATTTGACCTCTTCACCCTTTTGGAAGTCCAATTACATATATGTTAGCTTGATTTTGTCTTAAAATTTATTGATGTTTAATGCAATTTTCTTTCAGTCTTCTTTGTTTCATTTTGGATAGTTTGTTGTGATGTCTCCAAATTTATTGATCTTTTTTTCTATAATTTTTAATCTGCTCTTAATCTCACCCACCGTATTTTTCATTCCAGATATTATAGCTTCATCTGTAGAAATTTTCTTATATCTTCCACATCTGTGTTTTTCATGCTCTGTCTTTTCTCTAGTTTCTTGAACATAGGCACTACAGTTATAATTGGCTTAGTGCCTATGTCTACTAATTCTGTCTGTGTCATTTTGGGTTTGGTTTTAGTTGATTGGTATTTCTCTCCATTACGGATTTTGTTTTCCTGCTTTTGCATGCCTGATTTTTTTTTATTTGATGCTAGACATTTGAAATTCTAGCTTGTTCGGTGCTGGATATTTTTGTATTCAATTAAATACAAAAATTTTGAGCTTTGTTCTAGCATACATTGTTACTTGAAAACACTTTAATCTTTTAGGGATGTGCTTTTAAGTTTTGTTAGGCAGTACCGCTTTGTCACACTACTGAGGCAAAACTCTTCTGAATACTCTAGCTGGTGAGAGCAGGACCTACTTGGTGGTGTTCACTCTCAATCTTTTTGGTGGTTTTTTTCACTATCTTTGGGTAGTTTCCTCACACTTACATTCTGGTAAGTACTCAGTCTTGAGGGATACCCTCTGCAGATCTTTCTCAGTGTGCATTTCTCTTAAGTACTCTGCCCTGTGTCCTTGAGCCACCTTGCTGTCTCCAGACACAATTCTGTCTCCTCAGCTCAGACCATTGTGCTCTGCCTGGATTCCCCTCTTCCTGTTCTGTGGCCTGGAAACTCTTTCAAGGCTATAATGCTGAAGCAGTTGTTGGATTCATGCTTGTTTCCCATCTATTGGGGATCACTGTCTTTTGTTGCCTCAGTCCAATGTCTTGAAAAATGTTTTATGTATTTGGCCCTTTTTTCCCCCCACTTGTTTCAGGGAGGAGGGCAAATTTGGTCTCTGGTCACCAGTAGAATATTTGTATAGTTTTTTTTTTTTTTTTTTTCCAAGACAGGATCTCGCCATGTTGCCCAGGCTGGAATATGTGATCACAGTGCACTGTGGCCTCAAACTCCTGGGCTCAGGCCATCCTCCCACCCTAGCCTCCTGAGTAGCTGGGAAGACAGGCACACATACTATAATGCCTGGCTGTTGATATACTTTTAATTACATTTTGCTCTGCTAGTCTTACATATTGCTTTTAGATGTGACCTATACTTTTGTTATAGGAACTTTATTATTTAAGTTTTTCATCTAAAGTGTTAAGACTAAGAAAATGGATTCATTGAATGACTCTGGTGTTGCTGTTTTGCACCCAGACCCTAAAACTGAAGAGCTAACTTCTTCATGATACTGTTTACTGACTCTGCCTCACAATTTTGGAATCTGTTCGCTGACTTGAGATTTACTATATTCAGAGATGAATCCTGAATTTAATTGAGTAGCTTTTTGAATCAAATAATCTCTTTAAGAACTTGTAACATGGCATCAGTCCTCTTTAACTAATGAGAAGGAAAAGGGAAGCTATTTAGAGATCTGGAATATGTGATCACAGTGCACTGTGGCCTCAAACTCCTGGGCTCAGGCCATCCTCCCACCCTAGCCTCCTGAGTAGCTGGGATGACAGGCACACATACTATAATGCCTGGCTACTATTTAGAGGTCTACAGAAAGCCAGCTCTTCTGTATGCTGTAGGGCATTTTCCTGCTTCAATGGGTTGAAATCTTTTTTCTTTATTGCTAGTTATCAGTTGTAGGATTTGGTGACAGTGAAGTAGGGATAATTATTTTCCTGTTTGAGATGGCATTTAGTTCTGTAGCCAGTTTTGAATATTACTTACTATGAGTTTTTAAAGAATTTGTGGCATTGTAATTAATATCATAATCCTAAAATTTTAAAAATGTGCAGTTACCTAAACAGGTGAAAATATGAATGTCTTAGGGTTTTCAGACTGAGAAAATTGTTAAAAGTATCGGAACAATATTTGGAATTATTATTTATAATTCAACCCCAACCCCATTAGATAGTTACAGAGGTCCATACTTGGAACACTTGGTAATGGTGATATACTTGTTATGGCCTTTCTTTTCCTTTAGAATCTTGGGTTTGAACGGACTTTAGAAGTCATCTACTGTTTTGTGCATGTGTTTTTTGTTTTTTTTTTTTGAGACAGGGTCTTGCTCTGTTGCTCAGTCTGGAGTGCAGTGGCATGATCACTGCTCACTGCAGCCTTTACCTCTTAACCTCCAGGGTTCAAGTTATCCTCCTACCTTAGTCTCCCAAGTAGCTGGTAGCACACAGGCATGTACTACCACACCTGACTAATTTTTGTATTTTTCATAGAGATGTAGTTTTACTATGTTGCCCAGGCTGGTCTCAGGCAATACACCTACCTCGGTCTCCCAAAGTGCAGGGATTACAGGTGTGAACCAGCCTGACTCTTTGCTTGACTCTGCTGACTAGCCTGTGAGATTCCTGAAGCTAGGGACTCTATCTTTTACCTCTGTATCCCCAGGACAGTGTTTGACATACAGTAGGTTCTTGATAT